AAAACCTGCTGCAGGCCAAACTGAGTAAAACTGCGGCCCCCTGGCCGTACCGCAGGCCAACAGTTTCTCTTCGGCCCGGTGGTGACTTGGGCCCATGGTACTCCTTAGGAGTACAGGGAAAAAAAAAAAAAAAAAAAAAAAAAACTCCTTACGAGTACAGGGAACCCCCCCGGCCCTCACACCTTGCTGTTGTTCTTTGTCATGATCATCCTCCGCTATTCTCTTTTTTTTTTTTTTTTTTTTTTTTTCACCGGGAAACGGGCCCGGCGTCCCTCACAAAAAATAGTATCAGCCCGGATTTCCGGACCCGGCAACTCCGGCCGGTCACAGATCCGGACTGCTGGGATGTCTCTCAAAACAACGACCAGAAAAACCGGGATTTATACAAAGCATCTGCAAAACCTATACCCTAGTCTGTTGCACTACGAGCCAAGCAAAAGAAAACAACTAATTAAAGCCAAACACCTCAAAGAATACATCTACATCACCACGGAAAACGGTTAAACTAACAATCCGAAGGGTGGAGTACAGTCCAAAATAGACTGTACCTCACCCTAAGCGAAGATTTTCTCCGCTATTCTCTTTAGGAGTACAGGGCACAAAAAAGAAAAAGGAGTACAGGGGCACAGTTCCACTAGCACACAAGTACTGTAGAATGTCCGCACAAATGTGAGACAACTGCGGGAAATCTCTCGGCGGTTGTTGCAGCAAAATGGGATGGCATCAAAACCACAATGGATTTATATTTCGCAGTTGTGTTTTTTTTTTTGTTTTTGTACTTTTTCTTTTTATTTGGGAAAATGGGAGGTGGAAAAAAGAAACAGAAAGAATCATTTCGATTGGCCGTACTTCAAATGAGAAAAGAAAGCTCAAGTCCGTGAAGGGGTTGGTATGGACCTCCTTTTGTTTTCGGGTCTATTGCAACCCCATAGAGTACTTCATTTTTTACGCAGTATACAAGAATGTACACGCTTCAGTATGGCAAAACGGCACTTTAGTCATCCCATTCGGCACACAAAGGGTCTTGGTCACAGCAATCGTTAGGTAGAGCTTCTATCCCAACAGCCCAGTGAAGCAATCCACTGGGCGTTGGCGGGTGGCTTGAATCTGGACGTTTTTTGGGGGATGGGGCGGAGGTGGGGAGGGCTGGGCGTGTGAGGACAAGTGAGGGTGCATGAATCAAACATCACTGCTTTTCTTCGTTTTCTGGTGATGTCTCACACGTCGTAATAGGACATCACTTGTGTGCTAGTGGAACGGTGCCCCAGAGGAAGGTGCTCATTAGACACTCCTTGGGGCGTCCTCGGGGCCGAAGGAAGTTTCCTTGGGGGGTTTGAAGGAAATTCCCACCATCGTTCCACCTGTCCTTGGGGTGGTCTCCCAAGGATGATTCCTTTCGGCCGCTGGCGGCCATTTTCATAATACTATAGTCAGCCGCGGGGGGGGCAATGCCTTGATCCATTGGGTGATGTCCGTCTTGCTACGGTGTGGTCGCCGAAGGTGGGAAATTTTGCAAGGCGCTGGCGACCGGAAAAAAAAACCCCTTTAAAGGCAATGGACCTCCCTGTTCAAAAATCAAATTTCAAACTGGGTGTCGGACGTCACGGCGGCGACGCGGG